CCTAATTATTAGGTACATGGACTCTCTGGGAAACCCTCAGCCAGGGCGAGGCTCCAAGCAGGAGAGCTCCTGTCAAAGCTTCCTTTGGCCACCATTCGGATGACTTCCTGCTCCACCTGCGGGTTTAGGGTTTGGGGCTCAAGGGTTTAAGGGTTTAAGACTTCATGGTTAAAGGGTTTAGGGCTTAGTGCTTAGGCCTGCGCCATAGGCACAATATGTAGACGCCTAACTGCAATAGGGATTCGGGGCAGTCCTTCTTATAGGGATTCTACGGGAATGATGTTGGCATGTGTCTAGGCTTCTACGAAATTTCCAATACGGGGGTTACCCCTGCTAGACCCTCAAAACAGTAGCATCCTAATTCAAGGGAACCCATACACTCGAGGACCCCGGGTTCAGGGCCTCGGGGGTCGAATTCAGGATGTCATGTAGGTGCCTGAATACTTAGAAAAGCAACTGGGAGAATATTCTTCTGCACTCATGTGGGCTATAGTCTAAACTCCAAGTTTCCCCCCTAGGCCCCCTTAATAGCCCCTCTAACACTGTAACCATGGTTGGTTACTGCAATTTCTTTTCTGACGACGCCTACTTTACCGATCGGTCCAAATACCCAAATGATGGGGCTGCAGGGTGCCTAAAACCACAATATTGGGGCCTTTGGCTCTTTATGGTTAGCCTATGATGTACGAATTCTCCGCCAAGAGTCATGGTGTTACCAGCTTGCGCCACGACTTAGCAAATACCTGGGTTGGTGCTAAGGAACTAAAGCTAACTTACTGAAAGAAGGAAACCCTATGCCTTACTATATAGTATATCCATTATATGAGCTATAGTCTAGACGCCTAGTATCCCGCTTAACAAGCCCTATAACAGTCCCCTAAAGAAATCCCCTTTAAGGAGTTTAGACTATAGCTCGTATGGCAAATTGACTTAAGTTCCTCAACAGCAACCTGGATACTAGGTGCTTCTCGAAGCGCAGGTTTGCAGTTGCCAGTTTAGGGTTTTGGGTTCAGGGCTCCTGCTAGGACTCACCCTGCTGGTTACTAGTAGGGACTGGAGGAAAGGCTTTCTCTAGTAGCCATAAAACCCCAACCACATCATTCGTACCTTCCATTCTCTTTTCCATACCTTCCATCTCCCATGAACGAGCCGCAAGTTAGCACTACAACCCTACACCCTACATACCCCTATAAGACCCCTGGCTTCCATGCTTTCCATTTGATTCTCCATCTTAGGAATACTTAAACCCCCAAAGTAGGTAAAATAATGGCCCAAAACCGTTAAATATAGCCCAAAAGGCCATTATTCTCCGTACTTTGGGGTCCAGGTAGTACCCTGAACTCTACAAAGCCTGTCACCCCCGACCAGACATGCGCCTTATGCACATCTTTCAACTTGCTCGCTGCGTAGAAGGGGTTGTGACCCACAAGCAGAAGGTAAATGACAACCTGGGCTGAACCGAAGCTGCCTAGGGACCCGGGTTTCAGGGTTTAGGGTTTAGTGTTTTAGGGTTTAGGGTTTAGGGTTTAAGGTTTAGGGTTTTAGGGTTTAGGGGGACCCCATACTCCTTAATTGAGCGCCCAAAGGCTCCAGGTGTATGGTACATACTTGGGCCCTAAAGTAGTTATTTGGGAACCCGTGTGGGCCCTAAGTATATACTATATAGCTACATGGAGCCTTTGGGGCAATATGCCTGGAACCGTCATCGGGATCCAAGTAGCATTTGGAGCATATTCTTAAGGTATATTGGGCCCTCTGGATCCAAAACCATTCCTTACACAGTTGCTCCGCATCACATAATTCCCTGTAACCTGCAGTCTCAAGCCTCGATATATTGCCAGGAACTCTTACCAAAAACCCGAAGACAGCACCAGACGCTCGAACCCTAAACCCTAAACCCTAACCCTAAAACCCTAAAACCCTAAACCCTAAACCCTAAACGCTAACTAGAGCCTATGAGATATAAGCAGATTTGACGTGGTCTTTTGAGGGTTTCTCTGAGTGGCAACCTGACAACACACCCGAGCAGCCAATACCAAAAAAAAACTTCCCTGAGGACTAGACCCTAAACCTCCAAACGCCAGAATCCTAAACCCTAAACCCTAAACCCTAAAACCCTAAACCCTAAACCCTAAACCAGCTGTCCTACACTTCTTCTTACCCAAGTACCCAATTTCCGAGTACTTGGACACGCATGGAGATGACCCCCAACACATTTATGGTCTATGTAGCCCACTAGGGTTCATAGCAATGTAGGGTACATATCACCACTTGAGGGTTCAGATAGTCCAAGGTTGAAAGATGTTCTGACATTGCCATTGGGGGTTCAGGGTTTAAGGTTTGATTCGACTTCTGTCGAAATTTAGCTTGGTTAATTAAGCAAAGGAGAAGTCAAACTAAGTCGGTTCGTCTGTCCTCCCCACATGCCGCTTGGTATGAGCTTATTTCCCAAAGAGTCCAGGAAGGTATGTACCACATCCTTAAAGCCCAAAGGGTTCCCCCATTCTTATTTTGGTGCCAACTTACATCAAGTTACATTAAAACATTATATGGGTGGTTGTCAAAATTATGGTCCCTTTTTTGGATCCCTACTATAATACGGCACCTAATATTTAGGGTACCCAAAAAGGGACCATAATTTTGACAACCACCCACATAGCGACTTGGACCCTTTGCGATCAGTCCCTGGCCACACTCCTTCAACATAACCCCTGTGAAGCCTTCATGCTATCTTCAAGAGCTGTAGCTGTGAACCCGAGAGCATGATAAAATCCTGAACCCCTAAACCCTAAGCCGTAAACCCTAAACCCCAATGAACCCTACACCCTAAACCATCACCCTAAACCCTGCACCCCTGAACCGTGCTCCCCTAAACCACATCCCAAAGCCATAAACCCTAACTGCCCTAATCCGTCAACCCTAAAACCCAAACCCTACACTCTCCCCAACTAACATGGAAACCCATATAGTCCGCTTTTGGAAGGACTGTAGTCTTTATGGGGCCCTTTTCGGGTTTCCATGTTAGTTTCTGTGAGCGTACCTCTACTTGTAATCCCGATTTCCCACAGCTTAATAGTAATTACCTCTTCATTCGTAAGTATAATCCGTACGGGCGTAGGTAATTGGGGTTAGAGGTACTCCCGAAACCCCACAACCCCTAAACCCTTAACCCCTGTACCTGTACCTCTAGTCCCTAAGCCCCACACCTAAATCTTCAAACCCTACAGCTGAAGCTGACAATAATGCCCTAAACCCTACACCCTAAACCCTAAACCCTGAACCCAAAACAGGCTTCGGGTTGACCTGTAACCTTAGTACCTACAGTTTTCCCAGGGGGTCCATGTACCCAATAATTAGGTCCCTTTAAAGGGGGGTATATAGGGGCATA